TAGCATAGTGTATCATTCCTTTACCACCCTTGCATCCTGGGACCATGACTTCCCTGGTGCCCCAGAGCTCGTGCTAGCTGCATCATGGGAAGTGGTACCTGCCGTGGTGGCTAACCTTCAGGAAGCACTGGTAACTACCAGGCGTTATGGTGGCTACTGGCATCTCCTCATCTAATCATCACGACAGCTAAGAAGGCAGGCATGTCACTTTATCCTGAGTTTTAGAAGCTCAAGGATAGACTTTGAGGGAATGGAGAGATGGCTCAGTGGTTAAAAGCACTGGCTGCTGTTGAAATTGGAGCGGCGGGGCTGCGTCCCCGGCACCCGGCCGCCCACATGGCTAGGTTATGCCCGAAATAATTACACGGAGTATTCTTTCAAACACTGCCTGGCCTGGCTAGGTCCAGTTTCTTATTGGCTAGCTCTTACATATTGTTCTAACCCATTTCTAATATTCTGTGTAGCCCATGAGTTGGCTTACCAGAGAGGATCTTAACCTGCGTCTGTCTGGAGCGGGAGAATCATGGCGACTCCCTCACTCAGCTTCTTTTTCCCAGCATTCTCCTCTGTCTACTCCGCCTACCTAATTTTCTGTCCTATGAGGGCCGAGGCAGTTTCTTTATTAATAAGAAATCACTCCCACATCAGTTTCCCTTTTTCTGTTTAAACAAAAAAAGAAAGGCTTTAACTTTAACATAGTAAAATTACATATAACAAAACAGTTATCAAGTAAGAATTACAGTTACAATATTTATATCTATTTTATCTCTCACCATAACTAAGGAAAACTATAACTATTCATTCTTCAACTCCATCAAAGACTCCAGAAGGATATAATAATACTTAAGTAACAAGAAATAAGAAAACTCTAGAAATGACAGAGACATCTCGCTGCCTGGACAGTCACCCAAAGTTCCTCTGTACCGTTGGGGCATCCATCTTCGGCCTACAGGCCCATAGTATCCAGCAGTCATTTTCATCAAGCAGGAAATTCCAAAGACAGTTCAGTCACTTTCTGCTGTGTCCTGTAGAATGTCTCGTAGACTCTTTCATGAATCAGGAACCCCGAAAGACCATCTCACCTTTAGGCAAGTTCAGCAGTCCTCTCTCTGCGGGTTCTCTGTGTCCAGTTTATGCAACAGTCCAGGCAAGAGCAGTTTCTTGCCCAAATGACTATCCAACTCCATAAGGATCCTCTTCGATGCCCATCTTCCTTTTGAAGTAGATTGGTGCTGCCAGGAGCAGACATGTCTCATTGTCATGAAAAGTCCTAAGTTATTAAAATATTTTAAATGCCATATTCTGCAGTCTTTGAAAGATATGAAGAATGCCAATCTAATTGAAATATATCTCTATATATCTAGAAAATCTAATTAACATGACTACAAGCTTAACTATTAGCGATGATTATCCATTAACAACCTATATTTCCTAATTATACATTACATTTTTAAATGAACTACACAATCACAATACCTTAATCAAGTTCAAAAATACATATACATATAACAAAATTGACCTTAAAATCCATACCAATGCAAATTATTCATATCTATATCATATCCCCCTTTAAATGTAAAAGAACATTTATAAACAATATTTGGGAACATGGGCGTAGTTTTTTCTTTCCAAACTGCTTCCTGCTGAATAGGGGTGTCGTTAATTAGGTCTTTTGTGGTATAACCTGTGTGCCAGGGTCATCTCGGTTGGCAGTTGAGTGAAGTAATTTTTTGAGGGTGTTCACAGCAACCTTTCAGGAGGGCGTGGTCTATCATACCAAATCGGAATAGATGCAATCCACAGGGTCACATCCTCTGTGAAAACAAAAGGACTTTTCCAAAGCATCATATCCTTAGACCCAAATTCTGAAGTCAAGATACCTTTAGAACATATGTGCAGGTTCAGCCTAGCAGCCCATATAATGAAATGTCTCTCTGTACTTAGCTCCTTCACAGTCAAAAATTTTAAAGAAAACACAATGTACATAATCCAGACTCTCTGTGAATTTTACATTTTTACGTGGCTTATTTTTCTTTATTTCTCTTAATCTATAACTATCTGTACTTCTGTACTCTGTCTCTTTAAAGACTTTACCCTTTTTCTTTTTAAGACATTAACTTTATTCTTTATATTCTTTTTCTTCTCTCTCCCAAGCCTACGTACATTTATCCAACAGTGTCTGAATCTGTTTTATTGTGAATCTGTAACTTTTTTACTATCCAGGAGCACTTTGTTTTGCACCTTTAAATCACTAAGCGCCTTTAAATCACTAAGCGCTTAAGAATCTAAGCTGTGACATTCCTAGGTCAAAAACAGGTACTGTATGCTGGCCCCGCCCAGTCCAACAAGGCTGAGCCGCTCGTGCCTCTGATCCTTGCACATTGCACCAGTAGCATGGCGGAGCTGCTTGTGCCTCTGAGCTGCGGCACACAATGTCCCCTTTAAGGCACACAGCAGTCTAGTTGCCATCAAACAAATCATAGCATTTTAATCCAAAGGCTCCATTCATAAGCTCTGTCTCCCGCCGGAGCCAGACAGAGATCACAATGGCGGCACAGCCCAGAAAGCCGGCATTTTAAAACAGCCAGTTTTTTCTTGCTGCCGAGTCAGGACAATTTCTTTGCAGCACGCAACCCAGAAACAGCAAAAAGCTGTCTTAAATTCTCTCTCTCTCCTTTTTAAGCCCTCTCAGGTTTTTAAGTGGATTTAGCCCATCACGTCTGGGCGCCATCTGTTGAAATAGGACAAAAGGGGGAGATGTAGGGATAAGTCCCACCCCTTAGGGGGCGTGTTAGCCTCAGGCTAAAGTTCTCCTATAAAATTGGTGAGCGTGCTCCCAGCGTCCTCTTCTGCTTTCCTGGTCTCCGCGGGAACAGTGGTTCTGTAAGTCTATTCCCCCATTAAAGCTGTCTATATTTTGACAATCTGTCTGCATTCGCTTACGCCGTTACAGGCTGCTCTTCCAGGGGGGTCCCGGGTTTGACTCCCAGCACCCACATGGCAGCTCCCAATCACCTGTAACTCCAGTTCCAGGAGGTCTGACAGCTCCTCTGGCCTCCTTGGGTCCAGGGACGCAAATGATGCGCAGACATACATGCAAGCCAATCACTCAAAAAAGAGACTGAAATAAAAATCAACTTTGAAGAAGAGGTTTATTTAAAAAAGAAAGACTAGGCTCCAAAGGATTAAGTAACTCCCTTAAAGGGGAGGATCCTGGGTTTGTACCCAGGCCTCAGACCCCAGAGACCACTTTAGAACTCGCCCTTGGGTTACAGTAAAATTTGAAACAGCAGCTTCCCGGCTCTCCAGGTCGGGGGCTGGGGAGGGGAGGCAGGTTTATGAACAAGTGTGTAATGAATGTGCTTGAAACGGTGGCATCGAGCTCTGGCTGCCTGATCAGTGTCCTTGCGAGAGATGGGCATTGTCCTAGCTGTGTAGCCTTGGGTGAGGGACGCAGCCTCTCTGGTTCACTGTGTGTGCAAGCTGGAGTACTAACAACACCTGCTGTCCAGAGAGGAACGAAGTAGTGCTTATACGAGGTGTGTGGCTCAAAGCTCGGGAGTCCACAAACAGTGGACCAATGTTGACTGTGGTGTCTGCTATGGAGAGGCCTGCAGCTCCCCCTAGCCATCAGTAGCAGCCCTGCAAGGGTTTGCCTCTCATGTGTGCAGCCCAGCACTAACCTGTAACTGTCTCCTGCGACCAGTACCCTGTACTCGGGGTCATCTCCAGGAATGGCTCCGTTCTATCTCATAAACCCGGTGCCTCTTGAGCAGCTTGAGGCCGGAAGCGTGTGCCCACCTCCTGAGTCCTCATGGGAGTAAATGCTCCACTATGAGCAGACAGTGCCTGTGTGACCTCCAGGGTTCGTGGTGACTTTTGATATTCCAGAAATGCTTGAACCAGGACTGGCCCTGTGACTCAGCCAGGAAAGGTGCTCACTGCATAAGCCTGGCAATCCAGGCTCAACCCCTGGAACACGTGTAAAGGTGGAAGGCGGGAACTGACTCCCTAAAGTTGTCCTCCTGCGGTGTGCTAACCAACACACGTGCGCGCAGGTGAAGAGCTCCTCCCCATCATAGTTCTTAGGGCACACTAGCCCACAGTGACCAGTTCCTCCATGACACGGTGGTTTTGTCCTCCCTGTTTCATTGGTGAGAAAACTGAGGCCTAGATGGGAAACTATTGTCTGAGCCTGGAATACGGCCCTCATCTCCCCACCACTAGAGGTCCCTCTCCTGGGTCCAGCGTGAAATGAAGGGCTTTGTAGGACAGTGGTTCTCAGCCTGTGGGTCGCGACCCTTTGGGGGTCTAATGACCCTTTCACAGGGGTCACCTAAGACCACCAGAAAACATGGACATTTACATTACAATTAATAACCGTAGCAAAATTACAGTTATGAAGTAGCAACGAACCTAACGTTGTGGTTAGGGGTCAGCACGAGGAAAGGGTCGCAGCATTAGGAAGGTTGAGAACCACTAGGAGTCCTCTGCTCCTACATCATCGTCTACTGGGGAGCGGGGGCGCAGCTGTGGCAAGAGCTGAACATGACTTCAATGCATAGCCGTATCATAAAACTTGAAAACTCCCCTGACATTTGAGTTCCTGGGTCTGGTGTGCTGAGCCCGCTGGCCTTTGACAATCCTTGGAGCCACCAGGCCCCATAGGACCAGCCTCCCACATGGCCACAGAGGCAGAGCAGAGCGGCCTTCTCCAGCCCACACTAAAGCCGAATCCCATTGCAGGGAGGGCCTGGGTCAGGAGTCTGCTTCAGAGATTCCTGTGTTTCAACAGACACCTCATTATCCCAGCCAGCCTCTGTAATCATACAGGCCCACGCCCAGCAGTCATCCTAGGCCAGGAAATCACTCCCTCCCCTCCCCCGCCTTCCGCCCGGGGCGCCCTGAACCTCAGTGTCTGCAGCCACTCTTCAGTGGCCCTCTTGCCTGCCTAACGGTTTTCTCTCCTGCTTCTCCTTGCTCTCTCGGGGACTCGGAAGTGTGGCTAACCAGCTGGACTGAGTCTCCCAAGAAGGACGTGACAGGTACTGCCTTGTGTGCATGCGTATGAACATGTGTCCCAGCGTGTGTGCCGAGGAGGCAGGCTTCCCTGCGCATGCTTCCCTTGATCTGCATGCGGGGCTTTTCCACTCCCGGGCCTTCTGCCTGCTGGGAGAACCAACCCTTTGTCGTCCTCAGCTGAGCCTTGGAGAGTGGCGAGGGTGAGAGCGTGCTGACCCCGTGCCTGTGGCTTCGAATCCCAGCTCGGCCATGCCCTGCCTGCACTGCCCTGGGTGTGTGTGTCGGGGGGAGGGGGGGTTGCATAATCTTCCCAAGGGCATGTGATGCCATCTCTGGGCATTTCTGTTCCAGGATGATGGCGGGCTGCTGTCATTCTTGGCCTTATCACATTGACCATCCCAGGGAGAGTAGCCAAAAATGAGCCATCTCTCATGTGAGGCAGAGTCCCTGACACCTTCCAGAGATCTCTCAGGGGAGTAGGAGATATGGAGAGCAGGAGGTTCCTTGCTGTGCATGTGATAGGGTGGATCATAGCTCCAGATCCCAGTAGTTCAGAGCTTGGAATTGCCCCAAGGCTTTTAGCTGCCATGAGGTACTTTCAGGGCCTGGAGACTTAGCCTTTATCTGGGCCATCTGGGTAGAGGGTCAGGGTCTTGGTTTTTAGCCTTGTGGCAAAAGCCATGAACAGCAGGACTATAGTGCTTAGTGTAAGTGGTGGGAGAGCGATGGCACTTCCAGAAGAGTCTTCCACAGGGTCCCGTTCTTTCTAAGAGCAAACATTAAGGCTGAAGGGATGGGGAGGCACCACAGGGCTGGAGGGAGAAGAGGTCTTGGGCCAGTTGCAGGGTTACAGCTCAAGCTCCGTTCCCCTGCCTCCCGCCACTGCTGTTGGCAGGGAAGGGGGTGTTGAGCATCCTGGGAGAGAGGCCAGGCGAGAAGGCAGTGGGGGAGGTCCCCCTTCCCTCCTGGTCATCCCTATGGTGTCCCCTATGATGCCGGCCTGTGCCTGAGCTAATCACTGGGCTCCTGTCCCTTTTTCCCCTCTGCTCACGCCAGGGAGCCCGAGCCCACTTGGCCCACAGCAATGCATTCTATTCACCAAACGTATAGCTGAGAGGCCAGCAGGCCCAGTGCAGCCTGGGAAGAACCGGCTGCGAGCGGCCGTTGGGCCTTGGTGGGATGCCCAGGGTTGGGAGGGTTATGGGGAACCTGGGGCTGAGCTCCCACAGGGCCTGGCCAACTGAGAGTCCAAGGCTCGAGTCTCTCCCAGCCTTGGTTTCCCTTCTGGGATGCTGGGGGAATTCTGTCAGACAGGAAACAGAGAGGCGATGGGATAATGCCAGAGATCCTAATAGATTGAGATCCTGGGGCTGCTTAACCTGGCATCCAACCCTCAGTGACCAGGGGGCTCTGAGCTGGCTCTCTCCTGCTGGTAAGGCCCTGCCTGCCTGGAGGTGGGTGTAGGAGAGGTGTATTGGGGCAGTGGCTTTTGCTGTCCCTGGCAGTGAGGTCTTTGGTTCCTCCGTCTCCCATGTTCTACTCTCTAAGCAGCTGCTTGTACTTTTCTCGGGGCTTTAGGCCCTGTGACTTCAGTGCAGAGGCAGAACAGCCCCTGAGATACTGTTCCTGTTCACAGATGAGGAGGCCAGAGTCGAGAAGGTTAAGTGTCCTCCCCAGAGCAAGCAACGGCAAGACTGGACTAGACCCTGACTCTATTCTTTTGCCTTTGGAATGCCAGGCAATGGTTGGGTCTAGGTCGTGTCTTGTGGCACCCATATCAGGTCTGAAGTACATGGTCTGGTTGGGAAACCGTTCCCAACCAAAAGCCCAGGAGAGAACAAGACGCTCTGTGACAGGGGTGCTAAGGGAGTCTCCTAGAGAGGAAGAAGGGCTTGGGTAGAATTGAGAGCAATAAAAGAGAGGGGAATGCATGTGGACAGGGGGCAGGGGGCAGGGCCTGCAGGAGCTGTTGAAGAAGAGTGTGCACAGGAGCATCATGGATGCTGAATCATGAATGTTCCGTGGAATGGTGGAGGAGTAGCAGAGAAGCAGGGGAGCACCAACCACAGGAAAGGCTGGGCTCGGATCTGCCTTTTATCCTGTAAGTGATGAGGAGCCATTGAAGGTGTGGGAGCCGGGAAATGACTTGGCAGAGGCCTAGTTTAGAAACTTAAGTTGACAAAGGAAATCCCAAAGTTCTATGCAGATGGTTATTGGATGGAATAGGCAAGGCAGGAGCAGGGCAGCAATCCTCAGGACCCTAGCAGGCCCAGCCAGGGACTCCTCTTCTGTAAAGGCCCATTCTAACCCAGGAAACAGTACTCTCTAGAAGGGTCCACCCCTCTCACTCTGCCAAGCACAAGGAGGCTCCCCCTCCTCCCGCAGACTCCTCCAGACCCCAATTTTCCAAGCCTTGCCTACCTTGGAGGAGATCCAGAGCTGCTCCTCCAGATGACATCACCAAGCAGTTTCTCATCTGGATACCTGTTCCTCGTGCCTGCTCCATGCTGACACCCCAAGAGGCAGATGCCACAGGGGGGAGCCAGGAGCCTGCCTGCACTGGGGGTGGAAGGTGGGGAGGAGAGAATCCCACAGCTCGCACAGCTGTCTCCAGGAAGAATGGCAGCCTGCCTGCGCTGTGTGACCCTGGAGAAGGGTCCCTTTGCTTTGCTTTCCCGAGTCCCAGATTGCTAGGCGTTAGAGGCTCCAGCCAACTTCCCAAGCAGACTTCAGGGCTGTGGGTGTGTAGATTTTCTCCGCTTTGAAATCTTGCCTTGGGTTTTTCTTGGCTTGGAAATGAGCTGATATCTGTCGCCTCATGGGCACCTCGTCTTTGTCCTCATTACTTTGTCGTCTGGCCACAGACCTGGAGGATCTTGCTCCTTCTTGCCTCAGCTTCTCGTCGCCTTTGCCCCACTTCCAGTTCAGTCATTTATTGTCCCCCTCTTGGGGAGGTAAGACCCTTCCACATAGCAGCCACACCATCCGTCTGGAAGTACTTTAACCTTACACTCAGTGCCTACCACTAAAGGACATATGTGCTAGAGATGACCATAAGAATCTATAAAAATCCCAAACTCCAGTGTTGACAGGGGTCCCGGGATGCCATGAGGAAGGGTCCTTCCTAGACACTAAGCATCAATGGCATGTGTAGGCTGTGTGTGATGCAGGGGTTAGTTTACCATGTGTAACGTGGGGCTCCGTGGAGCCCTCTGTGCAGGTTTCTGTGAGGACCAAGCACGGTGCTGCTCTGCTTCCATGTTGAGTATGGGACTGACTGAGAAGGGCCCTGATGGGGGCTTGCATGTAATTGGCGTTCTCAGGACTTAACTCCCACCCCTGTCTCCCATTTTAGTCTTGTATTCTCTTCTCCTGTTTTTCACATCCGAGGTCCCCTCGGTGGCTGGTCCTTTTCTGGTTTGTGCTGTGGAGGCACTGATAACCCCCAGGGCACAGTCTGTCTAGCTGGTGCAGAAGCTGGTAACATCTGCATACAGATGCTGGGCTTCCCAGCTGTTGGTTGTGTTTCTGCCTGAAATGCAATTCTGGCTTTTCAGGGGCTCCCTGGGGGCTTGTGTGTGTGAGCTCACGGGGCACACCTCAGCTTCTGAGCCTCCTCCGAAGGTTCCATCTGGGGCTGCAAAGCCCACGTTATGTGAGAGAAAAGTTCTTTCTCTTTCCAGGAGAATGAACTTCTTTGACTCCCCCATAGTTCTCTGGCCACAGACGCTGACAGCGCCTTCTTCACACAGGACCCAGAGGTCTAAGCACTGCGTCTCACTTTTGGCTGCAAAGCTGAACCATGGGACAGGATGGGGTATGCAAAATGAGTCATGCCGAGGCCCCACCCACTAAAGCTGGCTCTCTGAAGCCTGGGCATCAGAGTGTAGGGGTTTAAAAGCTCCTGGGATAAGTCTCCATTCTTAAGTGGAGGGTCGTTGTTGCGGAAGGACAGTGTGTATGGAAATAAACGAGTGTTCGGTAATTAGAAGAGAGGTGGACTTGAACCATTGAAGCGATCGTAAGTGGTTTGACTGTCTTTGTATGAGCTGTGGGAACTGCATGCGTCTCCTGTCCTCTCTAAACCTCTCATTAATCTGGGAATTAAAGGGGAAGGGAGAGAGGGTGTCTCGAGGTGAACCAAGCCATACCTGCCCTGCTGTGAGTCAGACCCCGTCATATAGAGGGAATGTGACTGGGGCTGAGGCACCACAGCAGACGGGAAACGCTGGATTAACTAACTCTCTGGCCACACAATTGTGTGGAACTTGCTAGGGTTTTGCATTTGTTTTGGTTTTGGAACAGGGGTCTTGACCAGCAACCCAGGCTGACCTTGAACTCCTGCTTCAGCGACTGGTGTGGGAAGGACCGGCTGACTGACCAGCGTGGTATAAGAAATGTTCTAGAACTCCGTTGTGGGTGGAGAGGTCTGGGAAGTCTTCCTGAAAGAGGTGGTTAGTCATTTTCTGCCTGTGGGTTTGTTGAAGGCTAGCAGGGCGTCCTGTCTTTGAGAGTGTCCGCGGTGATAGGCGAAAGGCAGAGATTTGACAACACATCCAGCCATATGCCATGCGATGGACACCCTGTCTGTTCACTTTCTAGCCCGGTCCTTGTTTCATGAACGTCACACTGGTTCAGTAGCCAAGTAGGACAAAGAACTAACTTGCTTCTGGAACCGGGGCTCACCTACCCTCTCTCCGATACACCCCCACCTTTGGTTCTGAGGCTCTTGAAACTGCCCAGAGCCTCAAGGCAAGGGGAACCAGTCACCCTCTGCTGCTTGCGATGGCGGAGAGGCCCAGGAAAGCTCCTCCGGAAAGCCTAACACTGCCGTCTGCCCGGCCCTCTGAAAGCCAGGAGGACAGGAATGGAGCCGAACTTGAGGAAAAGTTGGCGGGGGTGGGAGGATGGGGGATGGGGGGTGGGCTCAGCTCGCCAGCACTGGCTCTGGGACTTTCTTCTTGGGTTTCAAGTAAACAGTCTGGGCCCTCCTCCCATCCCCTGCCTCCACCCCCAGCTCCTCATTCGACGGGTCTCATGTGTTTCTATTTAAGGGTTGCAAGTAAGCCCTAGTGATTGGCGGCCTCAAACCCTCTTGACTCTTTGCTGGACCTAGGCTGTGGAGAAGTTCTCTCCCTCTCCCTCCTGAGGGGATCCCTGCTGCCTTTTCTCTCTGGGTTTACAGGCTGGGGTAGAGGCAGCAGGCCTCCTGGGCCTCCCCTTCGCCTCCCTTCTTTCTCTCTCCTGTGCTCTGATCTCAGCCTTCATGGGCCGCCCACTGTGCTCTTGGGGCCCTCCTCTCACACCCCAGCCAGCACTAGAGTCTGGAGAGAGGGGAGGCCCCAGGCCTCGCTGCAGACTCCCCCATGCCGGGCTGTGACTAACTTCACAGGCAGCAGCAGGCTTTTTCCTCAATTTCCTTGTCTTCCATCTCTGCCTGCCTCTGCCTCTCTCCACCCCCTTCTCCTCCCCGTCCCCTGGCTCCCCATGTCCCCCGGTCCCCGCGGTGCAGGGGGCCGGTGTGGGGCCTTGCTATATGGCCTGTCCTTGGGGTCCAGCAAGCTGCGAGCCCTGGCTACGGGCTGCTCCTCGGTGCAGCGCTGGCAACCGAGCAGCCTCCCTCGAGGGCAATGGACAGAGGGCGCCCCGGCCGCGGGGCCACGGCCGGCCGCTGGCTCACTGCATGCTTTCTGCCCTCGCCAGGTGCCGACACCAACGCCGAGCCCATGATCCTGGAACAGTACGTGGTGGTGTCCAACTATAAGAAACAAGAGAACTCGGAGCTGAGCCTCCAGGCCGGGGAGGTGGTAGATGTCATCGAGAAGAACGAAAGTGGTGAGTGCCTGGCCTTTGGCTGTCCACTCCTGGTTCCAGCCTGGCTCCTGGGCCCTGCTGGGTTTTTGTTCCTTTCCTCCTCCCCCACCTCTGCAGCTATACGTTATTTCCATCTGGCAGGGAGAGGACCGAGAAGTCTGAAGTTCCCCTGTTGGTTTGGGCTGCAGGCCAGCAGTTTGCCTGGTGGTGGAAGAATGTCTCCCTGGCTTGAGGCTAATTTGCCAGCTTGTGCTAACGCAGGGCCAAGGTGGCCGCCGAAGCATCCATGCTCTATTCAGGAGCTCTGTGCCATCTGAGGCCCAGAGGAGATGGTAGCTCTGGTGCCCAATGACAGCTTCCCCAGCTGAGCTGTCTGCCAGGATCCAGACAGAAGTGGGAGGACCCAGCCTACTGGTGGAGAAGACAGGGCCATGACAATGGGTTCCAGAGTCCCCAGACCTCTGGCAAGATGTCTGAGGAAGGGCCAGGCCTACAGGAGGTTGCCTAGTGTCTGGGCAGTGTGTGGGTAGTGAGCTGGCTGCCCCCTGCTGAGCTGGAAGCTACCAGGACCAGGGAAGAGGGCCCAAGCACTGGATAAAGCCAGGTCCTGGAGCCAGGAGGGGTCCTGCAGCAACCAATGTGTCGTTAGGAACTGACACGAGGAACAAACCATGGTTTCCCAGGGTTCCGGAGTTCTTTAAGAGTGGACTGAAGTCCTCCTTGGTATTCTTGGCAAGAAAAGATACTGCAGATAGAGGGACGAGGGCTCAAGTCTGTCAGTCCCCTGTTGCAGCTCCTGGGGCCCCTGGAGGGCCGGAAGGTCCTTGGAACTATGGCCTCCCCTTCAGGCTTGAAAGCCCCTGCCAGGGCTTGAGAGGACTCAGGATCTTGTTTTGGTTTCAGTTTCGGTTTGCTGGGGGCAGGCCCTGGGCATAGGTGTACCCCGGATTGCATTTGTGGGCCCTTCAAAAGGGGGGCCCAATCGTCTTCTCTTCCTTCTGATATTTCAAAAGGAAAGCAGTTCAATGGGTCACTGTGCCCATTCTGTAGATAGAATGACTAAGGCACAGAGAGCTGGGCAGAAACAAGTATCCTGAGGTCAAAAACAGGGCTCCCAAACTTCTGAATGCGAATGCCTCTAGGTGGCTGCAGAGAAGCTAAAAGAAATCTCTTTGGACATTCTAGGGGACCCGACTCCCCAGCACAGGGCTGTGATGTGAGCACAGACTGGGTTCCCCATCCTGATGCTGTGATCTTCCTGATCACTTACCCTCTGTGAGAGGTCAGGCTCTGTCCTTGTGCATGGGTGGTTGGCAGGGACATGGCACGCATGACAGAACATGACCTGGTATCAGACCTGCATTCCAGGTGAACACCGCCCTGGTTCCCTTTCTGTGTCACTTTGTCGCGTCATGCTATTGTCTCGCGGGGATGGCACTGGAAGCCCAAGGCCCTGAGGCCCCGTGGGAGGTGGGGGGGGGGGTCTGTCATAGGTCTGTCATAATGAGAGGCAAGAGGGGAGGAAAGTTTGTTCACATGGGAGCCTGCTCCTTCTAAAGGCAGGAGATTGCTTTTGAATGCGAGGTCAGTTCTTTCAAGAAGGGCAGGTACATGTGCCACATGTACCTGCCACACCACCACCACTGTATGACCCAGAGCAGCAGGAGGTCGTGAGCCTCTGAGCCTGGGGTCAGTCAGCCATTGGCCAGCGAGAGTCCTGGTACACCATTCCAGGCTGAGCATGGTGGCACATGTCTTTAATCCTAGCATTCAGGAGGCAGAGGTAGGCACTGTCTGGAGTTTGAGGCCACCCAAGGCTAAATAGTAAGGCCCTGTCTCAAAAAATAATAAAATAAATAAAAATTAGAAAGGACTCTGGGGACTCAGTTACCTTTCCCCTTTCCATCACGTATGTGTGACCCTTATAATACATGGACTCTTGCCTAAGGGTGAAGGAAGGAGAACTCGGGGATGTGCATCTGTGTTAGGCTTAGAAACCTGCTTTCCTGCATAGTTCGTTTGGTTGTAAAGGGGCCTCAGCTTGCCCCTGCCACTTATCCCTGAGTGGCCCCGGCTAGAACAGAGACCCTATAAGAGCGCTGAGTAACTTCAGGTCCCGCTACTCCGCCAGGCCTTACCTATTCCTTCTGTAACATGGCGTAGCCTTGTGGCTGCTTGGAGTGGAGGCTGCCTTGTGTCTGAACTTCTGTTATTTGTGCCTTTTCTGCTGTTCTCATGGTTTGTGGAGATAGCTGCGTAGCTACACGTGTATCTGAACAAGGATCTGGAGTACTGTGGCTACCTGTCTGTCTATCCATCTGAAACCAGCATGGCTGGGATGGATATCCAGCTTAATGAGAGACACAGGGTAAGGAGGAGAAGGCTAGATGGCCAGACTTCAGCTCCTGGGAGGTAATTCTCTGGTAAAGAACCTGGACGCTGGACTGTGGGGGTGCTGTAGGTGAGCCGTGTGCATCCTGTGAGATGATTTTGGAAGGAGTGGTGAGTGAGGCTTCAGAACTCTGGAACAAAGACCCAATTGTGATGCCTTTGACCTGGGACACGGTGAGGGTGTTGCAACATTTCCACTGGTGTTGTTGGGCTGTAGCCCCAGTGAGTACCATCCCCCAGGCCTCCCTGTGTGTCATTTGGGGCAGGCCTCTGCCTGTGTGCCCTTCCCCTTAGCTGGGAGCCACTCCGATGGAGGGTCCATGGAGAGACCTAGAAACCTCTGGCTCTGCCTGATTGTCAAAGAACCCCTGTGACCTGGACCACAGCCACAAGGTGATGAGAGACGTGGACATGCCAGCAGCACTCTGTGGCTGTCACCCATCAAAGGAGATCTGCCCAGAAAGTCACCAAGTCCATAGACAGTCAGCGCCAGGGCCCAAGCCCCATACTGAATAGGATCATTGTTACCAGCTCCATGGAATAATTCTACATGATAAAAGGCAATTTACCATTTGGTAGCCAAAGCGACAGACGAAGAGTTTAGATGATTCTTAGAATCCAAAAGCTAAGGGCTCTCCCTCCGAAAAGGCCCCGGGGAGGCTGAGATGCTCTGATCTTAAGTGTACAGTGGGTAAAAGTGTGTGTCAGTGACAGGTGGATCAGAGTCATGGACCTATCAAGATGATCACCCTGGGATCCTGCCGGCACGTTGTTCATAGGTAGCGCGGTGTTAGTGATTAAGTCGATTGCTTGAACTTGGAGGCAGGTATCAGTTGAGAAGATCTCAAGACGGTGATGGATAAGGACAGCCCATCTCAAGGAGCACATATCTGGGTAGAAGTCGCAAGCACCTTTTTGATCAAACAGAAAGAACCCATGTAGGAAGGCTCACCATCCACTGGTCAGTAGGACACATGCAGCAGAAAGATATGACATCCAGCAAGCCACGCCAGGGCCTGTAACAGCCATTGTTTCTTCATGGAAACTCCTTGACCCTTGACCTGAGCCTCCTTATAAGACATTCTTGTGTCGGAAAGACCCACACCGGCTGCCCCTTTTGGCGGGCATGGCTGGCGTGACGTCTGCGGGCAGGTGACGTCAGGGTCCTGGTTGCTGGTTTCTGTGCTGAGAGAGGCTGCCTGCAGCTTTCCAAGATTGTTTCCTTCTGAGACTGCAGCCAGGGCAGGGAGCGTGGAGATGAGTCAACAGAATTTCTCCTGCCTCAGCTTTTATCCTCTGAGTCTTTTATCTCCTGGTATTGCCGTGATACCCTGAGGGTTCTGATGCTTCCTTGAAAACAAGGGGTTTTGAGCTCCTTTGTCCCCACTCTCCCCATGAGAAAGCTAAGCCTTGGGGTGCTTTACGCTCCAAACCAGTGCTTAGTCCAGTTGATCTCTGACTAAACGCTGGAAAGTCGGTCCTCTAGCTTTTTCTGGAGATGATTGAAAGACTGTGGGAAAATCTCACGGAAGCCAAGAGAAAAGCATGAGTCCCAGCCTTCGGGAGGCTGGGACTCGGAAACCTCGCTCTTCCCTTTCTGGGCTGTCTCTGCCCTACCCCCTCAGTGTGTGTGTGGGGGGGGGGGGATCACATGGAATTCATGTGGTAGTCAGAGCACCAGTTTCCCCAAACTGGTTTGTTTTCTGCTTCCACTGGGGATTATGGGAATCAGGTGTCAGACTCAGGTGGTCCAGCCTGCAGAATAGACATTTTAACTAATTCTTGTCATGGTATCTGTAACCATTTTACTTGGGAGGCAGTGTATGGAAGCAGAGAGGGCCAAGAGTCTAGAATTCAAGTACTGGGTTTCAGATGTTGCTCTGTGATAGAGTACTTCCTTGGCATGCTCAAAGCCTGAATTTTACCCCAGCACTATAGGAAGGAAGGAAGGAAGGAAGGAAGGAAGGAAGGAAGGAAGGAAGGAAGGAAGGAAGGAAGGAAGGAAGGGAAGGAAGGAAAACCAATGCTACCCTGACATTAGAAATAAACAATTTGCTAAAAAAAAATTTTTAACTTATTTTATTTTGTATATCTCAGTGTTTGCCTGCACATATGTATGAGTATCACACACATGCCTGGTACCTGCCAGAGGTCAGAAGAGAACATCACATTCCCTAGAACTGGAGTTACAGATGGTATATGGGTGCTGGGAACTGAACCCAGGTCTTCTGTTAAGAGCAGCGTGTGCCGTTACCTGCTGAGCCGTCTCTCTAGCCCTTCAGAATAAAAGGGAGCAGTGGTATGTACCACACAGATTTTATAAGGAGGGAACACACTGTACAGGGCGCGCATTAATTACTCCCTGTTATTTTATGACGTTCGAGTACTTCCTTTGTCCCAGGCACTGTGATAATTGTCTATACACCCATAATGTCTCTGTCTAATGGGTGTGGAAATTCTAGCACTTAAGATGAGGGATGTATTGGGAGGATGGGTTAGCTTTAATTTTTTGATTTACATTTATTTCTTAGGGTTGCAGGGGCATTCATGCCACAGTGAGCATGCAGAGGCTGGGGGATAACACACGGGAGTTGCTGCTCTCCTACTGTGTGGGCCCTGGAGATGACACT